TGCCGACCGGGGCGGGAAAAAAAAAAAAAAAAAAAAAAAAAAGAGGGGAGTGCCAAAAATCTAACAGCATTCAGTGCCAGGGCTCACCCGAACTGACACGATGGTTATCTGGGCTGGGAAGAAGGGCGGCAGAGGAGCTGGAGCGAACAGCCTGGGCTCCCTGGGGCAAGGCACAGAGGTATCCCCAGGCACCCCGTCTCCGGCACAGTGTCTCCCGGTGTACCAGGGCACTCGGAGTCTCGCCCCAGCACCACCCCAGCTCTCCGTGACCCAGCAAGAGGTGGCCACAGCACATCTCGGCAGCGCCAGCCCCAGCCTGGGCCCCTCCTCTGCCTCCCGCGGGCAGAGGGCACTTCGTGGGAGGAGAGCGCTGAAGAATCGTCACTAACGGGCTCCACCACACTTTGTCCTCCCGCAGGAGCCCTGCATCAGAAGGAACAGGAGGGGCAACACCAAAACACGCACACCTTTGCTGCCTGTAAAAACCCACCGCTAGGGCTTACCGCAGGGCTCACGGTGAAGAGAAGCTCCTGCTGTCCCTGGAGCCGTTTGAGGCTGCCTGCAGACTCAGGAACACCACAGGTTCCAGGCCAGTTTTGGAAAGTCCTTTCTACAGCCATAAAAGCTACAGGATTTTGAGCAAGACAGCTGCTGGGTTTAACTCTGGCCCAACAAGCAGCAACAGAGACAAATAAGCTCCCAGTCTGAAGCCTGTACCAGTTCAGTCCAGCAGCAACACTGGCACGCCCTGGCTGGCTGGCCCACCCTGGGGAGAAGCTGGGATTAGCAGCGATACCACATCCTCACACGCTTGGTACCTCAGTGGTCGCTGTATCAGGGGCAGCATCTCGGGTCCCTGGCATGAGCACACAAGAGGTTTGAGCTCCATGAGGGCTCCCCAGCAACACCCAAGCCCCTTTGCAGGGCCCTTCTCAACCCATCCTGCAAAACCAACCAGCAGAGCTGGAGACTCACATCCCATCCGGAGGCTTGGCCAGAGAGTGCAATGTCCAGTGGACCTCTCTCCTATAAACCCTGTGGTTTAGCTATCAGAGGACAGATCAGGAGGAAATACAGAATTTAGCGGGTAAATGTAGTTAAAACCGGGAAAGGAACCGAACAGAGCTGGGGCTATTTAGTTAGCAACGGTGGCATTAGGAAGCTGTTGATTTAGGCACAGACCAAACGTACAGAACACCTTTGAAGCCCCGGGTCCAGGCTGCTTTGGCAAGTGAAGGAACTCCACACAAAAGAGCTACACTCCAGGTACAACCTTCCTAACTTGTGTCAACACCACCAGGGCCAGCACCAACACTGCAGCCATTCCCAGCTGGCAAGAGAACACCATGCCGGGAGGATGTCGTCGTTGCATTTCCCAAGAATGTTTTTTTTCTCCCAAGCCAAAAGAGCTGGGTGTACCCCTCGCATCTGACCCGGGGAGAAGGCGTTAGCTCAGATGATCTCCAACAGATGCAGGCGCCATCCAGGGAGGCTGTAGGACCCAGCTGGATGGGGTCTGCCCAGCTCCCTGTTCTCAAAGGGACGAGGAGGGAGCGCTACCCCTTCCAACAGGGGCGCAAAGGCTCTTTTTCTAACCAGACCCACAGGTCCTGGAAAGTCTCTCCTGTCCCCAGTGCATCTAATCCCTGAAAAAAATTTATTGCAGCTCTCTAGGCAGGGCACAGAGCTTATTTTTGATAGCCAAGTAAAGAGGAAACTGTTCCATTTGTTTATGATCTCAGTGATTTTTAAGACCTGGATAGAGTCCTGGATGGCTTCTGGGAATGTGTTTTGTTAATGCGCCTCCTCCGATTAAAACACGCTTTCAGCTCACCCTCACAGAAAGGGCAGAGTGTGCTAAACATGTGCTTTCTGTCCTGAGTTCTTGCGGTTTTATCTTAACGGCACTTCAACCACGGGAAACACAACTCCTTTCAGCCGGGCCTAGTGCCTCACTAACAGGAGCTGTCAGCTCAGCAGCAGCACCGGGCACAGGCGTAAAGGGAAATGCCTGCATCTCAGCATGACCAAGAGCCAGGGCGTACTGCTGGGTCTCCTCTTCGATTCCTGCACCACTATGCCGCTACAGGAGATGCCAAGAGCCCTGCAGCAGGCACCCAGTGTGGGGGAACACACCACCAGACGTGAGCACCGTCCCCAGCTGCCAGCAGGTAGATTTCTCCTGAGCAAACTGCTGCAGGCCTGGGAAAGCGCTGGTTTGCAACCAGCACTCTTCCTTCCGAGACTCGCCTTTGATTTTCCCTCCTGAACTAACAGCTCGTATCCTCACATGCCTCCATTCCTGCCTGTCTGAGAAGCCCAACCACCCATCCAACTACCCACACACATCCAGTGGGTTTCTTTAACAAGCAGAGAAGTCACACCCGCTCCCCTCCGCAGCACCCTGACAGTCCCAGTGAGCGTCAGCCACGCTGCTGCTGGCCGACGGCAGACCTCTGATGGAGCAGCATTCAATGCCACACTCCCATTTCAGTCCTCCGGTTAAAAGCAAGAAAGGTGAGAGGGAAAGACTGAGCTTGTGTTAGGTGCCCAAAACCAACACACACACACACACTATTAATAAGGTCTCACATGTCTCCAAGTGAGACCAGGAGGGCCTCTTCCAGTCGCTTGTTGGATACACTCTAACCAGATGGGATCTAAGTACAGGCATGGGACCCGATTCAGGAGGTTCAGTTCTCTGCTCTGCTGCTGACATTTTGGGTGACCACCACAAGTCCCTCTCCCTCCCAGCCTCAGTTTCTCTGTGCATGAGCAGGAGACTAGGACTCTAAACATGACCTACAAAAGAAGCAGCACCAGAGTGGCCAGGCCTGCCCACCTGCACGGTTACTGTCGTCCTGACTGCGATGAGGAGGACGCGGTCTGTGCGCCTGAATGAATGCCTCCGAGTGACAGCTCCAGACCCAGCGCCAGCCTTTCACCAGGAAAGGGCAAGCTACACGGCACCTCCATGGCCTTGGGACAGGGCACAGCGTTTTTTACTTGTGCAAAACACCCAAATGCATTGCAATCTCAAGTGAGGGGGTGGAATAGCGGGTTGGAACCCAAATATCAAAGGCAAAGTAGTGCATGGTTTTCCTGTTCACCCAAGAGCTTTGTAGAAATAAAGACCTACTGAGAAACACACTCAGAACACATCACCTGTCACAAGACCAGCGGTTTAACATCTGAGTGAGAGCGTCGCGCATTAGCTGTGCTAGTATCAGCCTTAGGATCAGTCTTATCTCTAGGAAAACCCACCTGGTGCACTCGCTGCTGACACACATGGGCAACCCCACCCCTGCCAAGGCTTCCTGCCTCAGTGCTGGGTGCTCTGAAGGGAGAGAATCCTTGACCCCAGGGCACAAACAAGCTCTCCCCCAGCATTAACCCTGTCTCAGCACTGGAGCACAGACTGAGGGCAACTGTTGCTCCACAGACTACCAGGGAAATCCTCTTGGTAAAAAACACAGCTTGGGAGCACTTAAGAGAAAGACGTGGAATTACCTTAGTTACTGGGGTTTTACAGGGCACAGATGGAACCTGGGGAATATGGACCAGAAGTATTTCAGTGTTTTGCAACAGGCCAGGTGGAGGATGGCACCGCTACCACACCTTCTCCCTCTCTCCAGCACAGGTTACAACTAAAGCCGGGAAAAGGGAAGAAAGTATCAGTTACTAGACTATAAAGAAATACACCATGAGTTTTTTCTGAAGGATGCAGGGATCAACCAGGACTTCAGCAAGATGGGATGATGCCAAAGGCAACTTGCAAGAAGGAGGTGGGGTGAGCTGCCAGTATGGTGACACGGATACACCCCAGATAGTTGGTGGCTGAAAGACTGGAAAGGTCTCCACAAGTGACAGTCCTTGAGGAAGCCGATCAAATCTGCAGGATCCGTCAAGATGACCCCAAACAACCAGAACCTCCCCAACAGGCAGACTCTGCAAGACCTCAAGACAGGCAGATGTGGCCACCTAACATCATCATCCCTGGAGATCAGCCACCAGTGACCAATACTCTTCCTCTCACAAGCTGGTTTCAGCATCTCATCATCCTCACAGCCTGGCAACAGGAGATGACAATGAGACTTTCCTCCTCCATTGCGTGACAAGTTTATGCTTACAGTGACAGAAATGAGTGGTTCAATAGGACAGAGATGCTGAGTGGTCCTGGGAATGAGGCAAGGGCACCTGCTGTAACCCAAGCTCTGCATGCAGTTTCTTCAGTCACAACAGTTCACACGTCAACTTAATGGCATCCAACTCCGCTGCTTGCATCCTTTTCAGAACCTGGGGGCTTTTATTCCTTTTATTCCACAAGTTTTTGTGTCCTCACATTACATCCATTGCAAGGAGGGGGGAAAGGTTAAGATTTATCTGCTGCTTTCTGGAGAACAGTCTCCATCTTCAACCCAGTAACCCTAGTCAGGAGCCAGTAACAGTGTCAGTAATTTATAAGGAGTGTTGGTGCAGAGCAAGGTTGAGTAATGGTCTACAAAACCTTGCTGTAAGGCTCGACAGACCTGTTGGAACAACTGCGTACTTTTAAGAAATTTGTCTGACAGCCTATTTACTGCTTCTCATATTCTAGCACCTGAACTTCAAAACCTTCCAATAATCTCTTATTCTCCTGTTAATGAGAATGAAGACACCCGTGTTGCTACAGAAAAATGTCCCTGGACAAGGTCTCCTCCTGTACATTCTTCTTTAGCACAACATCTCCTGCTCTGCTGCTTTCTTCCCCTACACGCATTCTGATGTGCTACTGTAGTGTAACCTATCTCCACATTAGCTCAAAACACAGAAATTCATGAGCCCACATCAGAGTTCAGATACCAAATATATATAGGATGCAGAAGCCAAGGCCTTGCAAAGGCTTTTTACTAACTTCCACTTCACTTGGAGCTTTGAATCCATTATATAAATTAAAACTGGGTTTGCCAATATGAAAAAAAAAAAAAAAAATCTTTTCACAATACTCCTGTGCTCTAGGCCTAAGTCCCACTTGGGTTTGGAGAAAGCAGAAGCGGAAAGGATTTGGAGGTGCAGGAAGTCCTTGTACTGGCTGTTTTCTGTTGCACTAAGGTGATGTGGACAAAGAGGGTTAAAGACTCTGTTGTTTCCCCATTTCTGACAAATGGGTTATCGGAAAGAGCTCAGTACCTCAGAGGAGAAATTCACACTTTCTCCAGTGGCAGAGCCCTGACCGGACCATCCAGGAGAGCAGACTGGCTGGGCAAGAAGCCAGATCAAGGTACATGACCCACCAGCATCCCAAAAGTGCTCTACTGCTACACCCAGATGGGAACCTCAACTGCCAGCGAGATCCTTCACGGCTCGCTGAACTCCTGAGCACTTACCTGAGGGTTTGGTACTAGGTAGCTCTGAATCACCGCCGAGATAAAATTAAATCCAACGAGGAACGGAAAACTCATTCTGTACCTCAGGTCTGCATGGCCGGCATCACCTGCAGCCCTGTCCAAGGCAGACTCCACTTCTGCTCACCACGGAGGGCTTTGCTATGGAAAGTACGAGGTGCTGAGACATGAGGGCAGGGGCTGGATGAACTCTGAGGCCAGCAACAGGCTTGTCCAGCCCCAGGTAGCCACCACGGGCACGGGGCCAGGGCAGGGATGAAAAGAGGCCTTCATAGGGAGCACAAAAGGCAGCCTGTGATACGTGAGCACTGGGAGCTCAAGTGTGAAGCAGAGTGGAGCATTGCGGTTCTGATGAATGTTAAATAAACTTGTTTACAGAAAGGCAGGGCTGCATGTGTATGCACGGAGACCAGAGGTCTGTCTGTGTGCCCTTCCCTTCTTTGTCTGCACAAGGCAGGAAATTTCCTTTTCCAGTGGGGTGAAAAGCAGAAAAAATTCCACTGTGCGCTAAAAGCCCCTGTATTGGAGAAAGGTACCTCTCCACTCCTGATGCAGCAGAAAATCGTTCTGCTCCTGGGATGGCTTACCATACAGGCTGGTCCCCTGATGTCTGGCTTTTAGGTAGCAGAGAAGAAACTTAAGAAGGCTCAGGCCCCCTCTAAAATGTGACCAAGAGGAAGCACCGAGTCTCTCCTGTGCCCCACGATCCAAATATTGCATTCATCAGTACAAAGCTCTTTAAGAGCCAACAGCCTCACCATGCAAGTGCAACTCACCCAGTGAATTCATCAAGTGAGTGTGGGGTATTTCACAGGAGCAAAGCGACACAGGGAGGCAGCGACAGTGCGGTACTAACCACTGCCACAAAGCCGAGCCAACAGAAAGTACACAGGAAAGCTGGCAAGGCAGGAGACAGAGCAAATATGCACCAAATATTGGAAACTTAAAATAGCGTAAAAGAAATCCTAACTCAGAGAGGACGCAGATCAAACTTTCACTGAAAATCAATACATTTTTGCAGAGTGAAACAGACAGTAACAGTTCAGAAAAGACTTCACTTGATTTGGGGGAAGAGCACCTCCACTGCTTCTGGAAGCTTGAGCAAGCTACAAACTGAAACCATGCTTAATTGATTGATGTTCCACTATACAAAAATCAAAGCTTGGGGTCTGAGAAGGAAAACATCCACTTTGTAGTGCTCATTCCTTAGTTATGTTAAAGGTTTCCTAAGCAAAGTGAGGTGTTCTGCAAGGGGAAATATCAGCTACAGTAGTTCTGTTCTTGCACCTGCAGATGTTCCACCTAGGAGCAGAGGCAAATTCCCCTACCCATATGAAAGCTCCTTTAAAAAGAAGTAATTTCACCTGCTAGAAGGCTGGCTGGGATCTTCCTGCTAGGCAAGATGCTCAGAACAAACTGGGAGGGAACTGCAATCCAGGCTTGCTCCAGGTCTTAGAAGGTAGGACAAGAATTTAGGAAAACAAGCACTGTGCTTTCGCCTGTTACCTTGGCCTGAGCCATCCCTTCACAGCCTCACCTGCACTTACAGAAAGAGGCTTTGCGGGAAGCAGATCCCCATAGGCATTCCCACCCCTATGCTCAGAGCCCATCCATGCTGTCAGTCTGTAAGCCAGTTCTCCCTCGTTTTCAAAACCCATCTCAGACCCAGCAGCCTTTGAGGCCGACTGTGCCCCCGGTTCCCCTCAGCCTGCGCAGCTGTGCTGAAAGCGGGAGCAGGGAAGGCTGAAACTACCAACCACCTCCTTAAAAACACAGCCCCTCACAGAAGAGGTGTCTCACACTGACTTTTCCCATCACCTCGCCGAACTCAAGTTGCAGCCACATACCTTCCCAGCGCTGCCGGCCTGCCTTAGTATACCCAGCTCTAGACAGAAACTCAAACTGTTTAGGTGCACACCCCAGCTTTTGAAGGAACTGAACGCTTTCACAGGCACTTTCATATTTCTACTTACAGCAGCTGTGAAGTGCTCTGCTGTAGTGGAAAGCATAGAAGGAACCAGAAATTGGCACATACGCTTTAGCGGGAGAAATATGTTTGTTTTCACGACTGGAGCTTATTCCTACCACTAAAAGCTGGCAGATAACCTGTCCCAGCAACTGCTGAGAGAACCCCGTCTACTGTTGACTGATCTGTCTACTGATCCCAACGCTCACGGAGGCGTTGCTTCTGTTCATCTTAGGAGAAACAGAGGATTTTCTCCATTTTCCCGAACGGACACATGGTCTCAGGGCAGAGAACATATTCCTCACCACCAGCCACCAACTCCAAAGCTATTTTCCATTAATCAATTGTAATTCAATAAATACTAATGCAGGTTTTTAGGGGAGGGAGAGGAGGTGTGCAAGGAGAGAGGCAGGTTAATAAAATCTCCCACGCTTTTGGGCTTTAAATGCAAACAAAGCTCCTTACCTGCCAGCACAACAGGGACCAGGATGCCACACAGCATTAGCAGGACCAGGCGAAGGACAATGTGGTAGGGCATGGCTTCCCTCAGGAAGAACGTCGGCAGGAATTCTTAAAACTCTTCAAAAAGTACGGAACAACTGGGAAATTTCACTGGTATTGATAAAAACTTTGTCCAGTCAGGTAAAAAAAAAAAAATTTCCTTCAGAAGAGCAAGTGGACAGAGAGAGTGCAAAGCCCAGCAGAGACTCCCTCCCTCTGCCTTCCAGAGCACACCTCCTCCTGAAGGCAGCTCCACCCTCAAGAAGTTGTGCCTACAACCCCATAGGCAGCTGAGCCGTTAGGCATCTATCACCCTGCCAGGCCCGCGCACACACGAGCAGTTGTTGGCGAGCCCTTCCCAGAGGAAGAAGGGATGCTCCTGGAATGCCTCCCCTCTGGCCGGCCATCCTGCGGCATGGAAGTAACACAGGAGCCATTGGGGCAGTTAACCCCAAAACCAAGCAGACTGCTCAAGGGCTTTGCTCTCTCCTCAGTCTGCAAGGCAGCAGTGGTCTTTCCAGGGTGGGCGCAGCAAAAGAACAAGGGCCTCAATCTTTTGAGGCTAAAATGCTCTGAAACAGAGCCAGAGTGGCTCTGTGGCATCCTTGTTTTCTCGGTGCAATACTTACAGAGGCGGACTAGGAGCCATGTGTGGTCCTCACTAGCAGAACCGTCTGTTAAGATCAGGTTGGTCTTCCAGGAGAGTCACTGGCAAGACCAGCATGCTCCTTGGGTCTGCACAGCACAGACACCACCTCCTCCTGCAACCCTCAGCCACCCTGTCCCTCCCCAAGCGGGCTAGTCAAAAGTTCACAGCAGAGAAAAACTGAGGTTTGTCTCAAATCGTATTTGCAACAATAAGAGACATGGGCAAGGATGAAGCCTCTAAAAAGCGGAATGCTCCAGCTTGTTGTCAGAGGACAGAAGAATTTCATTAGATTTTTTTTAAGTGGATATGAAGATTGAAATACTTCACCCATTTCCATTCAGAAAAAGGTAAGAAATTACATAAATGCCCTCAACATCAGTTCTTTATGCTCTGAAAACATGACACAAGTAGTTTTGTCTTAAATTTCAGATCCAGATTTTTCTGCTAAGAGCTCTCTCTACTTTTTGGCTTTCTCCAACAGGCAGCCAGGTACAGTTCAGGTGTCCTTTTAAATCACTCCGCTTGCTGCAGTTCTTTGCAGAAGTGCCTGGCTGTGAGGGGAAGTGGAAAAAACAAAAAGGACTGAGCACTGTCCCTGCAGCAAAATGAGAAGTTGGGAAGTAACCTGGTGAAGCACACTCAAAAGCAGCCTCAGACATCTCTAGCATCGAATTCAACATCACCTGTCAAACTTGGATCAAATCCCCGTTAGCTTTCCAGGCTCTTGTTGTGTCTGAAACAGAGCAGGAAGCGCATAAGCATACATCCACCAGCAGACGCAAAGCTGTAGCGCCTATTTTCACCATCCCTCCTGATCCAAGCGACCTTCGCTGCAGAAACAGGACCCATTTGTAACAGACGGTGACAGGGTGGTCACCTGAGCATACGATCCCAACATGCCAGCATCTTACCTTTGTACTCAATACAGAAGCCACAACGTTAAAGTTCTAGGAGCTAGATCTTCCCCACTGGTCCCTTATCTACAAATTCTCAGAAGCCAAGCAAGGTCCTCGGTGTTCAACAAATTATTGTACATTTTTCCCACTCACATTCCTGCATTTTCATTTAGCAATCGGCAAATTGTTCCTTTCCTGCTCCCCAGCTGAGCTGGAAATTAACAGGCTCTTGCTTATTTGTTACACAGTACAGAGCAGTCCAAAATTAGCTCATAGAAATTAGATCATACCATTAAAAAATAGGAAGTACTTATGAACCAGACACCTTATAGACTAAAAAAAACCCTGAAGCTATTAAAACAAAGTCAAATTATCAGCCTAAACATGTACTGTTCTCTCCAAGACATCAACTAAACATAATGCAAAGCTATTGTAGCAGTTAATTTTTTACTGACTTCATATTCTTTGTGATCATATGAATGGCAGAAGGACATTTATCATGAACTTTTACTGGGATTTTCCACAAAAAACCCATCTGCAAGTAGAAAAAAAAAAAGAAAACAAGATTTTGTCTAAAAAGGGAAGCCTATAAGGTGTCCATGTGGATTTTACCCTGAGGGGAGAAATAAAACCTCTCATTTAGGGAAGGGAATTGGAGTGGGTTGGGGTGGTTACCAACTGGCAAAAAAAGGTTCCGTGGTCGAATGTTTGTAGCAACAGAAAACTAGCCATGACTTGATCTCTCCTGCATAAACACCACAAGTGTGAATGCACGTGTTTCTGTGCAGAGAGAGAGGGAAAATTAAAGCTTTCTTGTCAGAATTTTCCAATCTCAACTTTACTGGTGTTTATTTGAACTCTAAAATTATCAAGTAGAAAAAAAACCCACCGGTATTCCTCACCAGGGAAGAAATAAAGCAGCAGTTGTTGTTCCACATCCTGTGTGTTTGCTTGTTGTTTCTCGATGAAAACTGATGAGAGTCACGCTTTGGGTCAGTTTTAGCACCAGGAATTATCTCAAAAAACTCAGCTTCGACAAAAGCAGGCAGAAAGTTTTCTCTCAGATATAATACAACCAGGTTTTATTTAAGTTCTCTCTTTTTCCCCCCCACACTGGCAAAAGTTCAGAGGGAGTTTAAAGTTTTGTAAACATTTTAACTATCCCTCTTCCCCCTTTTATGAATTTACAAAGCAAAGGAGACAGGGAGACCAGATTTGCAACAGTTCCAAGTCTCTCCATGCTATTGGATCCAAAAACTATATACAAGTCTGCAGCAGTCTCTGTATAGTTACTGTACATGTTTGGCTGCAGGGGGAAGAGAGAGGAGGAGGAGGAGGAAGAGGGGAAGGTGACCCCAAAAAAATGAATAAACCAAACGAAATAAAATCCAAAGCCAAACTGCTCTTCAGCAACTCGAACTGTTTTCTTTAGGCAGTGATGACAGAAAGACAGACACTTTTATACAATTCCACCAAAACTGTAGCGTATCTCCCTTGGCAAGGTTATAACCCTCTGGGAACAGGAGATGGGACCAGGGGGTTGAAACTAAGTGCATTTGGCAGTTTCCATTTTCTTTCTTTTGTGGTGTGTGCACATGGGTGGGCAGAGAAGGGAAGGTGGTGTTAATCTTTCGGTGAGAGAGGAAGGTTATGATTCCATAAATACTTAAACATTATGGATCCCAGTGAAGGTGTGTGAAGTAGTTAAAGGTGTAGAAGATAAGCAGGGCCATCATTGCACATAGCTTCGCCCTCCACAGTCTCTCCATGACAAAAGGGCATCTCTGCTCATTAACCTAAGCACTGCTTGAAATGACAACTAGCTAAGACTGCTGGGGTATGTATCTGAAAGCCAGTGTTCACCTTCACCAAAGACTAAAGATCCACACGGTAAAGAACCTACTGTCTCTTAAACGAGACAAATTTGCAGGAAGAGAGCTCAAAATAAACTGGTCCTAATCCTCCAAAGGTAGCATTTAAGGGAGAAATTCAACCTGAAAGAAGAGATACCACCCCCCTTTTTTCCCAGATTAGAAGTCCCCACTTTGTCCAGGAAGGCTGGAGCATGCCGACGGAGAACTCCACCAGCTTCAGCATCACCACCTAATGAAGACAGACTCGAGCTTTCCCTCCGAAAATAATGTGCTGAGAAGGGCTGGCAGGGGGTGTGCAACTTCAAACCAACCCAAGCTAAACTGCGCCCGCCACCGCCCCTCTCCTGCTGTTGCCAGTTCTAAGGTTAGCTTATGAATGCAACTCCTGGCTTGGGAGAGCACCTCTTGCCCTGATGGAGCGCGGAAGTCAGTATCTGTGTGGCATTTTGGTTTTGACCAACATCTGTTAACCACAAACTCACTCTCTCTCTCTCTCTCTCTCTCTCCATGACTGCACGTGTCGGATGTGGTAAGAGTAACCAGGAGAGGGAAGCAATGGTTTGCGGAATCCCAATTGATTTTTTTTCCAGGTATGTCAGCAGAAGAAATCACAGCACAGTGAAAGCTTGCTGCCCAAATCAGCCTCGTTGTGAACGAATCCTATCTCCCACCCTCCCAGGACTCTGAACAGAAGTCCACTCGACTCTAGGCTGACGGCAGGAACAATGCCTGTGCAGTCCTGGGCAGAAAGGGGTTGCTGGGGCTAGAGGAAGCAGCCTGAGATGATTGATTCTGTGATTCACTGCGAGGCGAAGAAGAACGCATGGTGGAGAGTACTGTGTCCAAAACAGAGAATCCATGGTTAACAGATGCAGGAAAAGCCAGTTGATTTGCACATGCTCAGTAGTCTTCCAAAGTCTCTATTTCTCCCATATTGAGCCGCTCTGATGAGGCATTCACTGAAAACCCTGTAAACCAAAAAGGACTTGTGTTAAAAATCTGGATGTGGTATATTGTATTCCATGTAACACATCTGTTACAGGCAGTAGCATGTGTAAGACAGTGAGTAACATGTATCAAATAAAAACTCAGGGAAATTCAGTAAGGCTAGAGATAGAATTACCCAAACGGTTTGGTTTTTTCCTTAATAAGTCAAAAATAATCAATTGTATATTTATTGTATCACTTGGTCTTTAAAAGCAGATCAGCAGAAGACTTGCTTGAACTTTCATTTAAAAGATGTCATCTGCAGAACTAGTACGGGGCATATCTAGGCACAGTGGCGACGTGGCTCAGCAAGATATTGGAAGGGAGCACATATGAGTTAACTGGTACTTGGAAGTGCCTTGTCAACACTGTACTCATGGGGTCCAGGAAGCAGAAATACACATTTTGTGAACTCAGAATGCAAGCGTGGAATCATGCTCAAACACTTCAGGGGGTGTGAACAATTCTACCCCTTACTTTAAAGTCTAAATACATGTGCCTATGAAACTTAGTGGCAGTTCCATGTTTTTCCATGCTTTTTTTACAATCTTCTGTCTCTGGAGTACAAGATGAAAATGTACAAAGTTATACAGGACTATGCAGATGGCTCAAGACACACCTAAACTTCTACCCAACCTTTTAACTGTAAGCGCTGAGGACACAATACACATGAGAGAAGTGCAAGAAAAAGCAAAAACATTTTCTACAAGGAAAAAAATCCAATATATCATATGTAACTTTCCTACTGAAATCCAATTTTTATGGTTGTACCAACCCCATACGGAGTATGAGAAAAAGTGTTCCTGTGTAAGGCTACTGAACACAAACCTGACATTTCGTTGCCTTGAGGCTGCTATGCAGGCTTGCTCTGTGCAAGAAAACAAACCGCTTTTCACAGCCATTATCTGCAACAGATAAAAAGTGCTCTCCATTCAGCAGGTTTAAGAAAATTGTTCTGGCTCCCTCTCGTGGCAGTATGTTACCTAAAAGGTTTTGGAATTGTTTTATAATAGAGTGTACTGATTTTGAAGAAGCTGCATGTATTAGTTCTCTTACAATTGCAACTTCTTAATTGTCTTTATTGATTTCTTCTTCACATTACACGAGCAGGCTTTTAAATTATTCAACTGAAGACTCAGACCAGACCTGCTGGATTGACAGCTAGGGGTGGCATAAGTCAGGATTCCACTGAAGAGTTCAGTATACTTCAATGCAGAAATCATTGATTTAATTGAAGAGTATTGTTTTTTTTTTTTTTTTGAGAACGAAAAGACAAGATAAAAAACAAAGGCAGGGCTCTGTTAGAGCCTTAGAAAAGCAGCGACTTCCAGGGGGTTAATACCAGGCTGCTTTACGCAAGTATGAGCCAAGTAGCACCAGCACAACAAATATTGGCCCAACGCAGTGCCCTAGTTTCTTTTTTATCACGTACAGCATAAACGTGGACACGTTTATTCTACAAGAATACTACAGCAACACATTACACCCCACAATGCTCACTACTCGTATACTTACACAATGCCCTTGTATCTCAAAGGCCACTTTGAAGAAACCTTTCCATCAATGCTATATGGACTGGTTAACTACCATCCCCACATAAAAATTAAGACAGGAAAAAAAAAGGGCTACTAATGATGTCATCATTCCCACTGACTCCAACTGAAAACCTGTGACCACTTTTCAACTTTTTTTCGTAAGATCTTTGCCATCTTTTCTGACTAGGGTGGTTAGCTCATGTAAAAAGGTAGGAAGGAATAAAGGCAAGCCTCAAGAAGTTGTTCCTCATGAAGAAACAGAAAATATGCTTTTCTGAAAAGAATGAATTAGCCTTAATTCAATAAAATAGGCACAGGTCAACTCAAAAGAGGAAAGGCAGTTTAACTGACATCCCTGAACTACTTCAAAGGTTTCCAGGTAATAACCAAGGTATTGAAGAGGTCTTTTCATGAGGGAAAGTTCGACAACAGTTTCCCATGAAACTGATACAGAATTTTTTAAACCATTAAATAACAATACTGAAACAAATTCTAAAGATGCTTCAACAACTACCTTTTCTGCTCAAGCTCAATATTGCCATTTAAGGTTAACAAGACTTCTACACTCCACAAGGCTCTTCCCAAATTAAACATTGATTTCTAAAAATTAAAACTGACCTAACAAGCTGGGATCTGCGCGAACCATCTTCTGTTTCTTCTTTTTCTTCCCACTCTGCACAGCCTCAAAATTGGATTGCTGGTTGTTGCTCTGGTTGGTCTGAAAGACCGAATGTAGCGAACTGTGGTTCATCCCCCACACTGAATCCTAGAAAACAAAGCAAGTACAAGATTATAAAGTGCAATTAAGTTTGGTTAATTTATGTTGAAAACATTCAGAGAGCCTAAAGCACTTTGTACATCACATGTGGCAGCACTAGCCACTGATGCATCCATCCAACACATCTACCTCATCTTTCTAAAGCATATCCTGGATCAGCATGCTAAGACACTATTTGATCTACAGTTGGCCTCAACTCTTAGCTATAAAGGAAATTTGATTCTGCAGTAAATATCTGAAATCTGCTTTGTTCTCTGCATTTCACGTCAGTTGTAAAATCCTGCTCATCCTCCTATCAATCCAGCAGAAATGCAGACTCTTCAGACTCAAATGTAGTCCCCATACAGCCCTAAGGACCATAGCGAGTAAGACTTACCTGTTGCTGCTGCTGTTGCCGCTGCTGACTGGCTTTCTGTTTGGCACGGCGCTCAAGAAACTGCTTGGCAAACTCCTTGGCCTCAGGAGTATCTCCAAGATAGGCTCTGATGTAATCATGGACCTCATAGGGTGACTCTACTTCCTTCAGGAAAGAAACAAACGTGGGAACTGCAAGAAGAAGGCAGACCA